CGTGTCATACAGTTTTCTTGCTAGTTGCAAGTAACTGTCCCGTTGATCACCGATGTCTGGTAATTCTTGTGCATACTGATGGATTTGTTGCCATTTGCATTTCCTCCTCGCTGAATGGTGGCTTGTCATCAGGAGTTGAATCGATGCCTTGTTTTTTAAAGTTTCATAGATAGAGAAACGTGGTCGCTTCGCCGTTTACATTCATCAGATTCGAAATGAAGACTTGTAAGTGACTTTTTATTGGTGTGCGTTTTACTGCAATTGCGAAAGATTTTAACTTTATTCACTTACGTCGTGTAGATCATGGCATCGAAATGTAGAAGAATTGTAATCACTGGAGCGGAGCGAGTGAAATGCATCCGTTTGAGCAAGGCTGGACACAAAGTTAAAAGCATCCAGCAGACACTTGGAGTCGGAAAGACGCAAATCAACAAAACAATCCAAAATAGACACATTTTTTTCCCCAAGACAGAAAAAATAAACATTGAAATACTGTATGTATTTTACTGTTGTGATTTTTTTTTGGATACACCTGTATTGCAGTTTTTGGACAGTATATTTTTGTATTTTATTGATTATGTTGTTACACGTGCATTTTGTCAACATACTTGCAGGTTCATAAAGGACATGTACCATGCTCATTTCCCAAATGAGGAATTTCTGTTATTAGGACAAATTGGACAGCGCAAACACGAGTCCGCACGAGAGAATATTTACTGTATATACACATGTATATATATATATAAAAGAGCAAAATAAAAGCAACACAAGAAATATGGAACATCTTAAATCATGTAATTAGAAATAGCTCTAATAAAGTAATTATCCGGAGTACTTTATGAAAGATAAAAATACCATTATTGAGGAAACTGCACAAATAGCAAAGGAATTTAATGAAAATTTTGTTAATATCGGTAGCAACTTAGCAAAACAAATTCCTGATCCAATTCTTTTGAAATAGATAAAATACATAGTAAAAAATTCTTCCACAATGTTACTTACTGCTGTGAATCAAAATGAAATATTAAATATTGTAAAAACATATAAAAGTAAAAAATCAACTGACTCTTTTAATATTGATATGACAATAGTAAAACAGATCATAGAATTTGTAGTGCAACCTTTTGCACACACATGTAACCTGTCATTTAAAGCCGGTGTTTTTCCATCAAAAATGAAAACAGCTAAAGTCACTCCAATTTTTAAAAGTGGAGAAATTCTTTTCAAATTATAGACCAATATCACTGCTACCACAATTTTCAAAAATATCAGAAAAATTATTTTCTCGCAGACTTGACAACTTCATAAATAAACATGGGCTCTTAAGTGAAAACCAATATGGCTTCAGAGAAAAACGGACCACCCTAATGGCAGTCATGGAGTTTGTGGAAGCAATAGCAACTAATATAGACAATAAAGAATTCACGGTTGGGATTTTTCTAGATCTAAAAAAAGCTTTTGATACAATAGATCATACCATATTATTGAATAAATTAGAGAGATATGGTATCAGAGGCATAGCATATAAATGGATTGAAAGTTATTGAAAATAGATGTCAGTATGTGCAGTTCAACAACAAAAAATCCAACTCACTGAAGATTACCCATGGAGTGCCACAGGGATCAGTGCTTGGACCAAAACTATTCATTCTATATATAAATGACATCTGCAGTGTTTCAAAACAATTCAAATGTATCCTATTCGCCGATGACACAACCTTCTTCTGCTCTGGAAAAAATATGGAACAACTTCTGAAAACTGTGGAAAATGAATTAACCAAACTAAAAAACTAGTTCGACAGAAATAAACTCTTTAAATTTAACAAAAACTAAGTTCGTTGTTTTTGGCACGAGACCAATTAAAGACCAAGTTAAAATAAAGATAAATTCAATTGAAATAGAACGAGTTTATGAAAATAAGTTTCTTGGACTAGTAATAGATACTAAACTATCCTGGAAGCCACATATAGATAACGTTAAAAGAAAAATATCCAAGACTATCGGGATACTCCACAAAACTAAGGATGTGTTGAATAAGAGTTCCTTGTACACATTATATTACTCATTATTACTCCCATATATGACAAACAGTGTGGAAATATGGGGGAACGCCTGTAAATCAAACACACTCCCTGTCTTAAAACTACAGAAAAAAGCAATCAGAATAATCAATTGGTCTAAATATATCGAACCCACAAATCCACTATTCATCAAATCAAATACAATGAAATTCTATGACCTGGTTGACTTCAAAATTGCCCAATTAATGTATAAAGCACATAACAATCTCCTTTGTCAAAAAAGTAAAGGGCATTGCAGTAATCGAGCCGGGATGTGACAAAGGCATGAATTACTGTCTCAAAGTGTTCATGAGAGAGGAGAGGTTTTACTTTGGCCAGCTGTCTAAGGTGAAAGAAGCTGGATTTAACAACGGCACCAATTTGCCGGTCAAGTTTGAAATCACTGTCCAGTTTAAGGCCCAAGTTTGAGACTGTTGACTTAAGATAAGGAGACAGGAGGCCCAAGTCAACAGGATGGGATATGCAAGGGCCACTGGGACCAAACAGTATCACCTCTGTCTTCTTTTCATTGAAAGTCAAGAAATTTTGTGCCATCCAGGTTTTGATTTCTAGTTGTTAAAAGAAAAATATCCAAGACTATCGGGATACTCCACAAAACTAAGGATGTGTTGAATAAGAGATCCTTGTACACATTATATTACTCATTATTACACCCATATATGACCTACTGTGTGGAAATGTGGGGGAATGGCTGTAAATTCAAACACACTCCCTGTCTTAAAACTACAGAAAAAAGCAATCAGAATAATCAATTGGTCTAAATATATCGAACCCACAAATCCACTATTCATCAAATTAAACAATAAAATTCTATGACCGGGTTGACTTCAAAATCGCCCAATTAATGTATAAAGCACATAACAATCTCCTTTGCCAAAATATCCAGAAGCTTTTTGAAATTAGAGATAGTTGTTATAATCTAAGAGGTATTAATCAATACAAAAAATCCAGAACAAGAACAAACATCAAGTAAAGGTTTGTATCAGTAATAGGAGTCAATCTGTGGAATAAGCTTGAGACGGATCTGAAAATGACTAAATCGCTGAATGAGTTCAAAAACAAATTTAAAAGATTAGTACAAACTACAAAAATCAAAGTTAAGAAGATAAATTTGATATATTTATAAAATCTAGTAATACAATGGTCTGTTCTTGTTTTGGGTAAAAGTATTTGATGATATGTAGATTTCTTCCTTTTCTTTGGTATTGAAAAATGATCAATACACATTATTACACAACAAGGGGTAGGACGAGATAAGTTGTATACTTCTTCCTACTCCTTTGAGCATATAACTGATGATGTTTGTTTTTACTTACTTTTATTTTTTCCTTTTATGACTTTTGTTTGCATTTTGTCAATCTGTTATTGTATGTTCTATATATGTTCAATAAACAAAACAATACAATACATTACTGCGATCGCTTGTTAAAATTATCCGTTGTATTCTTTGCGTGCACGAACAGATATATTGCAGAGGACCGCAGCAGCGCGACTGTATGTTGTATAATGTTTGACTAACTGGAGACCCTGGCTGAGCAGGGCATGTCGGCGATAACGATGCGCTGATTGGCTCCTCTGAACTTAAGGTGTGCCCATACATAAGCGTCAGCACGCGTCAATCCCAATACACGCATTCAAAATGGCTGCTTGTGTCAGGAAACAGACGCATGCGCGACGCCACAGTGTGCTACTGCTCACAACTTCAGTCCAGGAGAGCCGCAACACAGACAATTAGACAAGACGAATCGCGGGAGGTTTCGATTGTGTGCAGTTTTGCTCGCGTCTACCCGGGGATCTTTGCAGCTGTTTAACAGCAGAATACCGCATGGTCTAAATTTGCTCCAAAGAGAAAGGTGGACAGTGAAAATCGGCGTTTCGATGAAGAATGGACTGATAAGTATGCTTTCATTCTACCTCTGTCGAGCACCAAGCCAATGTGTCTAATATGCATAAAGACGGTAGCTCTGGTGAAGAGTCAAAATATTAAACGCCACTATGTGACAGAGCACGGCTCTTTTGAACGGGATTTCCCTCATAATTCAGAGCTGAGAACAAACGAAATAAAGAGACTGAAAAGGTCATATCAAGACTCAAGCAGGAAGATTGTGACATGTATGACACAACAACAAAAAGCAACAGAGTGCTCACTGAAAGTGGCCTGGGTTTTGGGTAAGCACAAGAAACCATTCTCTGATGCAGAAATTATAAAAGAATGCATGACTGAAGTTATGGACACAATGTTTGAAGGCAAAGAAAAGGAGCAAATGACAAAGCAAATTCCACTGTGAGATTCCACGTCAAACAGACGGACTGAAGTCCTTGCTGCTGATTTGTCTAGCCAGCTTTGTGATGCAATACAAAATGCAAATTGTATTTCCCTAGCAGTAGATGAGTCCACTGACACTACTGATAATGCACAGTTGGTGGTGTTTGTGAGGTATTATGATGAGGCAAAGGGGGAGTTCATTGAAGATGTTTTGGGATTGTTAAACCTCAGTGGACAAACAAAGGGGGGAGACATCTTTGCAGCAATGTCAGAAATGATGAATGAAAAACAGATAGATATGAAGAAAGTTGTGTCAATTGCTCATACATGGCAATGGCGAGTGATGAAAAAAGCGGAAGGGGCGTGGCCTGGCCGGGGGCGTGGCCTGGACGGGGCGTGGTTACTTACAAAAGTGGCACTAAACATGCTGAAGATGAAGTGTATTCAATTTACACACTATTTGAAACTTTAACAGAAAAAAA